TCCACCTCCCTCAACCTCGAACACAACCGCCCCGTCCTCAAACTGTCCCGCCTTGCTTTCGGTCTCTGTAGAGGTGGGGGCGAAAGTGCTGCCGGGCGGAGGCGGTGGAGTCGGCGCCCACATCTGAAAAAGAGTGCGAAAGCCCCTCTTTTCTTCTTTTTCTCGCTGCTGTTGCCGGCGGCGCCTGCGCTGTCGTTTGCTCGTGCCATCACGCTTGACACGGCCCGAGCTCCCCGAGCTGCAGCTGCCATAGTGACTACTGCTGTCGCTGCTGTGTTGGCTGCTGCTGTGGTCCTCCTCGTCTCCTTCATAACATGTGTCGTGGTGGTCATGTGGCGGTGAAGTGTCCGCAGCGGGGGATGGTGACGCGGCCGCTTTCGCGCCGAACCGACCACCTGTTCTTGTTTGGCAGCTGCCACGCTTCTTGTTTCGTTTACCGGGGGGACGCCCAACCATGTATGGGCTTGGATGGGCCCTCAGTGGGGTCTATGTGACTGCTGTAGCGTGTGGTGTGTGTGGCGGCACCAAACTTTGATGGGCCATAACTCTTTCAGAAAATTTTTGTTCGCAAAAAAAAAAAAAACTGTCCTGGGTGCAGGTTCAATTCGCCCGAATCTGTCGAGTTTTTCGAAATCTATCGGTTGGTTTCACCATTAAAAACATAACTCTGGGACCAGCTGGAATGAGTCTTTTCGCCCATTTCTCCGTTGTATCTCAGCGAATACAAAGTTGAGTTGGGTCGCCGCGTAGCCCTCGGCGTGATACGCTCAAAACCGGTCTTTAAAAAAAAAGTGGACATCACACACGCCCTACTAAAACATAACAAAATCTGGCAAAATCTCGACGGAATCGCGATTTTCTCGCCAAAACAAAAAAAAAAACTGCTCTGATCAAACGATCCGCCTGAAATAGAGCTTTTTTACGATATAAGGTATGTTATTAGGGGGTACGTCAGTCGCTCGCAATATATTCCCGAGTGATTCTAGGCAATCGTGGGAAAATTTAACCGGACGGACTATAGCACCATCGGGAGTAAACGGCGAACGGGGGAAACTACGAGGTGCTTTACGTGCCATGGTGACACGGCCCTGCCTTTTGCAGACGCAATGATCCATGTCGGGAGGTCCTTCGCAATAGTACTCACTGGTTCTACTTACGGCCCGGGTGTATTTCATCCTTCTCGTCGAGCTGACGCGGATTCACGCCGCCTTGACTTTTCAAGTTTGACACTCCAAACAAACCTCATCTAGCTACTGCTTCGAGTTCCACATTACGCAACGTCAGCAAAAGCGAGCCACACGTGAGAAACTCCCGGAAATACCAAGCGGCCGGTGCTACATCTTTCACCCCTATGCATCCGCCCTCGCTGCCCTTACACTCACCAAGGAAGCTTGCGCAGCACGTCGCCGTCCTCGAAACCGCCAAGACAGATCGAACAGTCCGCGGACGAGGCTGCCTCCGCACCCTGCGCGATGAAAGCCCCGTCGCCCCCGCCCATCATCCCCGCCGATTCCACGCCCCCCCGCTTTTCCTCGCTCCCACTACTACTCCTGCTGTTGGAGGGGTCAACCTTCTCTCCGATCAGTTCAACACCGCTGCTGTCGCCGCCCCCGTCCATGCAGCTAATGTCGTCGTTACCCTTGTCTTTTGAGACGATGCTAACGGCGGTCGAGTACTCGACGGTCTCCAGACAGTCCAGCTCCGACGGGGAGAGGCCCCGGTGCCGAGAAAACACCCTCCGCCGCAGGGTGCCGTGGCGATCCCTGAGGCCGATTAACATTCACATGAGAGCGCAGTCGCCGCCAACGCGGGGAACCAAGACGGGAACGAGAGTATGTAGGGCGGGGAGTTTGTTCGGACCGTCTTCACGAGCTTCTTGTCTTAATTTATCAATATGCGACAGAGTGGGGTTTCGTAACCCGAACGCTAGTCCCCAACTTAAACCCGTGGCTACCCCTAGACAGCACAGCCTACAAATAGACCAGCAGTGAAGGCTACTGGTTTATTCCGCTGGGGGGAGCAAAGAATTGCGCCGGAGGGAGGGCGGGAAACGGACATACAATCGAAAAGTGCTCCAGTTCACACACCCAAGAAACCCCGCCACGACAGTCGACAGTCACCGCCGATGTCCCCGCAGCGTGCGTGTGACTGAGCAACAAAGAAGACGCCATCGCTCACCACGACAACTGTCCCCGCCCCCGTTCAGTGCAAACTCCATGTGTTCACTTACCCTTCCATCGCCAGCACTCCTCGGAGCATGAGGGCCCTCGCGAGGAAGAGACACATGGTGAGGAAGGCGGTCATGATGGACAGCGCTACCAGCATCATGATCGACTGGGAGAGAGAGAGTAGCGCCGCCTGCGGGGGGGGGGAGGGAGCAACAATGACGGTAAGCAGCTAGCTACGCGAAGACCCCGGTCTGGCAATTCTCGTGGGATGGCGTGCAAGGACAAGGGCTGCCACCCTGGCAGGCATGTCGTGGGGGGTGCTTTCGTCCCGTCTATTCTGGCGCCAGCCTACCAAACGCCTTTCGACATACGTTGACGTATCAGCCGGGTTCACACAGCAGGGAGGAAATACAGGGATATTATTGGAAATATGTATTAGGTTTGTGGATGTTCTGTCTGGGCGACCAGGCAGGCAGAGAGATACTGGTACCTTGGAGAGATGAAACGACATCGATCTACCTACGCCACGAAAAAACAACACGAGCATGAAAACAAACTCATATAATTCGAAGCACGACACACGAAGCCACGAGACACGCATCGAGAGCCTCATACATGTGTGATTCGAAGCACATAACACAAGAAGCCACACGGGGGTACATTGTACAACAATGGAAAGGGGAAATTCCCCCCCGGCCTCCCGCCCTGAAACTCCAGTCCCACATCTTCAACGGGCTAAGACGACAGCAGCTTCGATGAAGAAGTTCATGTCTCGTTCCGCACCGCGCGCTGACCTTCATACCAAACATACAGGGACTTCCTGTAAATGGCAGAAGCCACACATCATGATGGGGGTACATCCAGTTCTCTCTTCTGCGGGGACACGTTTTAGTACGAGCTCCAGGCAAGAGCAGCACGCGCGACACCGCACACACCTCGGCTGGTCCATCGAGGTACTCCCGGTACTCGTCGCACCACAGGCCGCCCGTCACGCCGGTCATCCCTCCCGAGCACTCCCCGCAAGGAGAGACGGAGGCCTCTCCGTGACAGAAACCGCCTGCGAACACCGCCGGCGTTTGTTTGTTTTCCGGCAAAATACGGGCGTCCGGTATACGCAGGGGGGAAGACGAGGTTGGTTTACAAAGCTGTACATGCCGCCGTGACTTATCGAGGTTCAAAACTAGCCCGTGTAGTGCCGCGCTACGAATGCCGTTTTTATGAATCGGCATTGTCAACAACAACCATTGGCCGACAAAGAGCCACCTCTTCCGCTGCCGGCTTCGTAGGGGATGCGAGGTCAATGGTCTAACGACTTCGGCATGCACGACTATGAGTACCCCCCCCCCCCCTCTGGTGCTGAGCCTCCGCTTCCCCTGGTCTCACCGCAGTCTTTGGTGGAACCATCGCCCCCGCAAACCAGGCACGAGTCGCAGGTAAGCTCTGTTTGTCGCGGGGAGGTGCTGCACCCGCAATCCGGGGCATCTGCATCATCGCGATAATACCTTCCCGCCAAGAGCGACGGGGCACGGCAAAAGGGGTGGGAGCAGGGGGGGGGGGTTTCTCATGTAAACGCATGCCGCCGTCGTTACACCATAGACCCCGCATCGGTACAATGCCGGGACGGAGCGATATGCCGGGTTTTTGGCGGTCCAGCCTTCGGTTCACAAGGATGAACCAGAACCTGGTCATCATCCTCGCGTTTGGGGCGGGGTGGGGTNGGGGGGGGGGGGGGGGGGGGGGGGTTTCTCATGTAAACGCATGCCGCCGTCGTTACACCATAGACCCCGCATCGGTACAATGCCGGGACGGAGCGATATGCCGGGTTTTTGGCGGTCCAGCCTTCGGTTCACAAGGATGAACCAGAACCTGGTCATCATCCTCGCGTTTGGGGCGGGGTGGGGTGGGGGGGGTACGCATACTCGTGCATGCCGTAGTCGTTAGACCATTGACCTCGCATCCCTACAAAGCCGGGACGGAGCACGCCGGGTTCTCACCGGACCAGGCTCTCACATCACCAAGCGCGAAGTGGGGCGGGGTGGGGGGGGGGAATGCTTCGGTGGAACGGAGCGTGCACGCTTCTCGAGCCTGGGGTGTTGAGACGAGCTAGGCCAACACCGACGGCGCCCGGGGGTTGCAATACCATCACCAAGCAAGCGACGGCAGGCAAAAGGGTCCAGTACGATTTCGGGTTTGACACGAATGATGGTTTACTACGCTGTGCCGCTGCTGCTGCTGCTGCTGCTGCTGCTTAGCACATTGAATGCCCCCACCATGGCGTCAACATGGCTCGAAAATCTTTCCCGTGATTTGCCCTTGTTCTCTCACGGCTCACTACTAAAACCTAAGCTATGTAGTTCACGTCATCCAAGGATGAACAGGAGACGAATCGCGCCGTACAACTACATCTAGTCCCCCCAACCCTACAAGTGGAAAAGAGAGAGAGGGCAGCGCGCATGCCACAACCAATGCCGATGCACATCAAGAAGCTGTGCACGTTGTCCCGTTTCCACGACGAATTTTCAGGCAAACTAAAAACGACCACTGCTGTCCAGGGGAACCATCCCGTATACCCAACTACACAGCGCAAACAGATTTTCAGATCAACTCGGAGGCCCGCTTGAACACATTGCTCACTCAGACAGACCTCTCTCCCGCCTTGTACCTAATACTCCGTGGCGTGGACTATTAACTTCTGCCCAGTGCAAACGAAAAACGATCACGGTCCCATGGAACCATGCCGCCAACTACAAACCGTACCACTAGCGTAAGCAGCGGCAGAAAGATGGGACCACGGGGCGGTCGAATCGAAACCCATGTTTTCCTGTACAAACTCACCTAAAGGCCAACACGTGACTGTTGATGAGGCCGGCATCGCCCAAGACGGACAAGCCGTGCACAGCCACGCCCGCGGCCCCGAGCCTCACCTGCTCCTTAGCTCTGTCGCTGGCCTGCTTTGGAGATCGATGAGCAGACAGGACTAAAAGAGTGTTGGGGTCCGTGCGCGACAACCGAAGCTTACGCTGGCGGTTGACAAGGGGCAACATGAACCTACCTGCTTATCGCTTCGCTGATCTCTGAGCGTCAACACACACTCTTGCTGGGCTCTAACAGAGCATGCGCAAGACCTTCCCCTTGTGTGACCCAGATGACACGTCAGATATATACACCGAAAGGCGAGTAGACTGCCGGAATGGATGGGACGAAGACACGTCCACAGACCTGTGTGACTTCTTTCCTTACAACTAAAAGAGATAGACAAGACCCATCAAGCCAACGAGAAGTGGAAGGAAGCTCTCGCCATCCCGGACACGAGGCCAACACGCACCTGCTCCGGCAAAGACCAGAGCACTTCCACGGGCACCATCACCGCCTCCTCCTGCCCGGCCTCCGCCCACTCGAGCCTCGGCACCTCGCAAACCAGCCCCCCGCCTACCTCCCCCCCAGCCCAATACGGCCCCCAAGCCTCCTCCTCGAACCCCCCCGCCCAAGAGCCAGAGGAGGAGGTGGTGGTCTCCCCCCCTAGGCCGACGGCCGGCACCTCGAGCCCGCCGATGCGGCACGAGAAGGTCACGTTGAGAGAGGCCGCCGCCCGGCAGCCGACCCCTTCCCAGAGGACGGGGACCTCGCTCCCGGCCTTGCCGCACGCCCGCGCCAGGCAGGCCAGCGTCGGCGCGCGGCACAGCGTGACCTCGGTGTCGGCGTCCTCTTCTTCGGCGCCATCGCCGTTCGCGATTATGGTCACGGCCTCCCCCTCCCCCCACTGCTGCACTTCGCTGGAGTCGTCGCCGCTGGTCGAGTCGCTGGAGTTGGAGGCGGTGGAGACCGGGGCGCCCGGGGACGGTGGCAGTGTCGGCGTTGCGGAGAACGCCTCCGGAGGGGCGGCGGCAGACGGCAGCCCGTTCTCATCCATCTGGATGAACTGAGATTGTCGAACGTGGCGATTTCTGGACAAGGGCACACGGCGGTGGGAGTGAGAAGAAAGTTTGGGTGAGACCCCGGGATGGTCAACAACATGCAGGCCACAAGCAAAAGCGTCTCGCCGCCGGTCCCCGGGTGACAAGCGGTGGCGGAACGGCCGACCCGACCTGCTTAACTCTCGATCATCTACCTCGACCCTTCTCGGAAGGGCCATCTCACCTGATGGTGGGAGAGACGAACGAGTTGCCGCTGACCCCCGCCGTCCAGTCGGCTTTGTCTCCGATGCGCATGTAACGGTAACGCAACGAACCGTCCGGGAACACCGTCGTCGAAAACGTCGAAGGCGTTGCAGATGCAGACTTCATCCATCCCATGCAGCAGGGGGACGAAAGGGTGGTCGTCGTGTCAGGCGTGGGCAAGGAGGGCATCGACAAGAGTCTGGGCGCGGCAAGGTATAACATAATCCACGATACAATGCCGTGTGTATGGAGCGAGGTGGGTAGACGACGGGACACGGGGTCTCGCTCTTCGACAGGAAGCCGGAATCAATCGTCGAGCGGGTAGATGGGGTACTACTGCAGTTCTCAGAAGCAGCACGGGGAGAGGAGGGTGTGGGGTTCCAGTGTAGCAGCACGCGTCGCGCCCTGCTTCGGCGGTACTGCCACGTACACCTTCCGTCATCTCTCACCCTCTTGAACAGGAACACATCCTGGTACAGGACCGAGAACTGGTCCTCCTCGATCACCACGAGCACCGAGGACGCCGCGCGGCTGTCGGAAGGGTTCCAGTCGGCCTTCAACACGGGGAAGTACGCCTCCGTGGAGGGAGACACCGCCGACAAGCCCCCCGGGACGACGGTCTGCAGCGGGGGGACGAACAAAGCCCCGTTCGGGCTGATGTACACGTCCTGCCGACACCGGGCGGGGATGGATGGATTGGTGCGGGCGAAGCGTCTATCATGCGAAAAATATATATTTCCATATTTTCAGGAAGACGAGTGGGCGGCACTGCGGAGCGGGAGATAGGTATCACGAGAGCTTCCTCCTCACTCACGACTACTTGTGTCTGGGCACAGGTGTGTGTGGTACGGGGCCCTCATGAAGGAATGTAACTGAGGGTATTAAGGGGGTGGTTCAGGTGTGCCCGCATGCACGAAACTCTATCTCTCTAAGAGAACGCGTACTTTTGGGGATCGGGACGCCACCGCCGACACCAAGGCGTGCCGCACGTTACACCAAAACAAGCACGTCAAAGCATCCTCATCATCGTCGTTGGTCCAACACCAACACCAACAAGCACGCCACCGGCGCACGCACCTCGTACTTGGTCCCGTACACCGGGAACTCCCGCCAGTTGTGGAACTCCACCGGGTAGTCGTCGGCGAACGTCACGGACGACAGCTTGTTCTGCGCGCGCACCTCCGCCACGAACTCCGCCTGCTCCACGGGGTCCGCTCGGTCCACGATCTGCTCATCATCGTCATCGTCATCAACATTTTCATTCGTCGTCATCATCATCATCATCCTGTCATCATGATCATGTCATCGTCATCATTGTCGTCGTCGTCATCATCTTCATCGTCATCATCATCGTGGAAAGCAAGAGGTGGTGTGACGACCGCAGCACCCGCCACCAAGGAGGACGGTCAACCGGGGGGGGCGGCGTACTGTTATGTTTTGCATGCATTAGCGGTTAGACCATTGACCACGCGTCCTCGAGAGGACGGACCATTGTTCCCACAGGACCGACCACCGATGGCCATTCGTTCCTTTCTACTTTGCCAAAGGTGCCTCAAAAATGTCTTCCCTAGTCTGTCTATCCTAACGATATCCCTTCCCGCCTTTTCAACCCACCTGCTACGCCCCAGTACAGCTACCGTCCTCTCCTCTCTATTCCATGCCTCAAACATCTCCCTGTACGTCCCATCTATTTTTCCCAGCTCAGTCACGTACATTTCCCTCTCCTTTTACAACGGACATTCCGCCTACATGAACACGGTCTTCGCATTCGAAGCCGCAATCACATTTGAACTCGTAGTCTTCGTCGTCTACTGTCCTATGTCTTCGTCGACGTTCTCGAAGGCCTATGTCCCCGGTCCTGAGTTTGACCTTAAGCCTTGTCCCTGCATCCATCGGTGCATGTAGGTAATCCTTGAACCCTGTTCCTTCCTTCAACATTCCGTACACTTCGAGACCCTCCTTATCCTTGGATTCTTTCCCTAGATTATGTTCTCTCTCGGCACAAGCAACAGATATCTTCTCCTTGAACCCCTGCAGACCCTCCGTTTCCAGCGTTTCATCTTCGGCGATGTCGAGCCCCTTCCATACGTCCTCTACAACCTTGACCCATTCCGTGGGTTGTCTACCCCTCTTTATGTTTGCCCACTTTGCCTCCCATACAATTCTAGGCAGCCTCTCCCCTCCCATCCCGCACATGCGATACTGCCCTGTCAGCTTCCTCGCGTCTCTTCCCGACCGTAGGGATTGGATGTCCAATTCTGCCCTGACGGCTGCATTACTTGTGCGCTTGGAGCATCCTAGGATGATTTTCGCTGCTTTCATCTGCGTCGCCTCGAGTTCTTTCACGACCTTCTTTCCTTCCCATACATCTCCGGCGTTCTCTAGCGGCGGTACGATTACGCTCTTCAAAACCGTCAATTTGATGCGTGTATCGAGGTGCCGGTTTGCGAGTATTGGGTGCAGCTTCCCTGCTCGTGCTTTGCCCTTTTCCGCTACCTTGGACATGTGTGCATTCCACGAGCAATCTTTTGCGATCTCTACTCCGAGGTATGTGGACTGGTCCACTACTGCAATCTCCTCGATCCCCCACTTCCATCAATGTTCTACTGGTTCCTCCTTGTTCTCCTTGCATACCATGACGGTACTATTCTTAAC